TACATTCCACACCACCTGTAATGTCACACCTTCCTTCTTCCACGACGGCCTCTCCCTCCACTCTCTGGAGCTCTCTCCCCGACCTCGGCCCCCTAAGCACACACGTCTCCCAGCTCAGTTCCAAACGGCAATCTTTTTAGTCAACTGTAAAAGGAAAAAAGCAAAACACTGTTCCTCAGGCTCTAAGCACCCATGAAGCATGATTTCCAGTGGAGGCACCCTTCAGAAACCTCAGCTGTCACCTAGCAGACAAGATTTCCACAAGAGGCAAAGGACATAATGGTTCACTTTATTTATATCCACCATCGAATCATTAACAAACAGTAAAGAAAAACATTAATCCATAATTCCATACTATTTATTTTTTTCCATGTTCTCTTCTCATCTTTGTCCACATGAATCTGGATATTTTATATACCAACAGATTATACCTTGGGACTTTTTTCCTGATTATAACAGTAATGCCTGTCCTAGCATTTGTTCAATGCTTGGAAGACAGGTAAGCTTCACATATTATGGGAATGAGATTCTGTAGAAAGCGACTGTTTCACTCACGTACGTCTGCACCCAAAGGCCTCTAATACCTTTAAACCCATGCAGGCTTCTTACCTCTCGTCAAGTCGTGATGACTTGACTTTCTCCCCTCTATGCCCTCCCTTCCTCTCTTACAGCTCTCATCTCAGCTTTGGAGTTACTGCCCACGCCTAGCAGAGGCCCAACAGCCCTGGAGCCCTGGTGATGAACACAAGCACAGACTCACAGTCCATTTGTTATCAATTATTTAAATACAGATAACAACTCGGGCTTCTCCTCACCTGTGTCACTTAAAGGTTAATGAGGCCAAGTTTTGTGAGCATCTTGAAAGCAAAGTGCACTAAAAACACCAAAAGGGATCGCTTTCCTTTGCTCTCTGCCCCATCATCATAGCTTGCCAAAAAAAAAAAGGTCATGATCTTGCCAACGATGAGGAGGCACCTTTCAACGGCCGTCACTCCTGCTACTACAGCGGCTGACCAAGGGCACCTGCCCAGTACAGCGATGGTGTTAACATGAAATGATAATTTTATTCCAGAGACCAGAGGCTGCATTTCTGATCAAGGGCTGAAGAGAGAGGACAGGGACATGGGAAAGGCTTGCCAAAACTCACGCAGGTGGCCACCAGCAACCAAGGCACGGAACACCACCTCTGCAGCCCTGGTGGAGACTCCTTTCTCAGACTGCCTGTCTGCTCAAGAGCAGCGTCTCCCCTCAGAAGATGCTATGTGACATCAGCAGATGGTTTCAAATGTCTAATGTGCTTTACGCAAACCTGATCATTTTCTTATCTCCTACCTAGACTTGGCAGGGCCACAAAGAGCTAATTTTATGACAACCATTCTTTGACAAATAAAAACTAAAGGGAGGTAGGAATCCGCCAAAAAATTCGACAAAGCAGGACAGGCTAGACTTAGTGAAACACAAAATCAGCTTCATCTAAGTGCTCTAAATGAAGTCCCCCTCCTCAAATGGCTGCATGACAGACCCCCGGAATGGGACAAGAAAGACCCAATCGAGACACCCAAAGGATGCATTCTACTGCAACTCCCTCATTTTACAGATGGGAAAACTAAGGCCCAGAGAAGTGAACTGACTTTCCCAAGGTTACACAGTAAATTAACGTAGCAGACAAGCCCAGCCCAGAAGGCAATTCTTAGGAGTCCCTCGTTGGTGGTCTTTCATTTCAACTGAGAGAATCGCTATTAACACATATCAACATGCAGAATATGCACTAACAATACATTAAAATTAAAATGGTAATCTGAGTTTATCTTTCTTTTTAAGTTTATTTGTTGGTAGTACAACATTGTTGAAAATGAATAAACGCAAAGCAGTTTTTAAATCTGGACGGAAGCTTCTTAAAAACATTCGTGCTCTTCCAACCATATCTAATTCTAAACAGCAAATCAAATATGTTTTACAAGAGAATGCTTATTGAATAATAATTAAACCAGTTGAAGATATTCTCATGAGATAAAACTCTCAAGTTCTATTGCTATGCAATCAAAGGACTGTCCACTTTCTCAGAGGGGTTTTCTTAGGAAGCTGATATTTATATGTCAAAGATGCTGACATATAAGATAATACATGTAAGGAGCTTAATACCAGGCTTGACACATAGTAAGTATCGAAGAAATGCTAGTTTCCTTAACCTGGGTAGGAAAATAAGTATCATCCACTTAACTAGTAATACCGTCTTACAATACTTTCCTAAAATTCTGTCCTACACCCCTGGAAGCCAGCCCTGGTGGTCTAGTGGTAAGACTCCGTGTACCACCGCGGCCTGGGTTTGTTTCCTGGTCAGGGAACCACACCACCCATCTGTTGGTTGTCATACTGTGGTGGCTGCATGTTGTTGCTGTGATGCTGAAAGCTACGCCACTGGCATTTCAAATACCAGCAGGGTCACCCACGGTGGACAGGTTTCAGTGAAGCTTCCAGACTAAGACAGACCAGGAAGAAGGACCTGGCCACCCACTTCCAAAAAGAATTGGCCATGAAAACCCTATGAATTATAGCGGAGCATTGTCTGATATAGTGCCAGAAGATGAGAAAACAATGCAAGAAGACCAGGCAGGGTTCCGCTCTGCTGGACACAGGCTTGCTATGAGGTGGAAATGACTCCATGGCACTAACACCACCCCTGGAAAACTCAAGGTGTTACATCATCAAGGTATTGCCTATTTTAAACGCGTAACTGAAAAAGGTATAGATAGACAACATTCCATTTTTCTTGAAAGATAAATTTAGATATCCAGAAATCAGGGTAATCAACATAACACTATTCTAATATTATGGCAAGACTTTAGGTATTAATTCCTGCTGTAACAGAAAGAAAATTCAGTGTTTGTTGTTGTTTCTCTGGTGGCAGGAAAAGAAAACAATCATCAAAAAGTTGAAACATGACATAAAAAGAGTAACAGTTTTAAAATATTTTGTCTTTGTACACATGGATTCTTTCGATGTTCAGTCTTTTCCTAAAAAATTCTGTAGTCAGTGTTCATAGCACTCCAGTTAAATGTAAATTCCCAGTCTTTTACACTTAGGATCGTCAAGTTTTTCCACCACCACTTTAAAAAAGTTTCAGAAAGCAGAATCCTGCTGGCTCCGTGGAGGTAAATTATTTAATTAAAAGTATCTTTAAAAGAGAATCAAAGTATAAGACATAGACACCTTCCCTGGAAAATGGTCTCAACTTTAGAGTCTTTTCCCAAAGGCTCTGAAAAAACATCTAGACCAACCCCAGTTTATGAAGGCTCTGAGCGATTTTTCGAGGTCATGTAGTAAGCTGATGACAAAAGGACAGCAATAGAAATCTTGCATCTGTTCTTCCCTCTCTGATCTACCAGCCCACTGTACTCTGCTGCCACCTGTGTTCTCCCAGCATTTTCCCCAACCTGGAGGCTCCCCATCCTCCTGACAAATGTCTTCCTTCCAAAACAGTGCCATTTCTAGGACTCTGCAAGTTCCAATAGACAATTGTTGAACAAATATTGCCTTCAAGCTAAAAACTGAAAACACAACAAAGCCGCTACCTAATTCATAAAGAAATCCCCCTTCAAGGATTCTGTCTGTTCCTGAAAGGCCAGCAAGACAAATTCAGATTTTCTTTAATTATCATGGCCATTGGGAGGACAAGATTTGGAATATCAACCTACGATAAGAAAACAAAAGATTTAAGAGACACAAATCCAAAGCGACAGATCAGGATGCCACTGTTTTTTAAATTGGTGGAATATTAAATGACAAACCAATGCCAACCTCACAAAGTTTCCTCGGTTCTTGAAATTCAAACACCACTGCTGGCATCATTTTATGATAATCCTTTAGGTATCTCACCTAAGTCATCATGCGCGGAAAGTCAGTGACTGAGGCACTTTTTAGATAAGACTGTGCCCTCTGAGAGCCCGGTCCTGTCGGAGCCTCCGACACTGACCCTATCTGCTCTCAATTTTGACCCTCCCCAACCACTCGATCCACCCAAAAACGTTTGAGACAGTCGTAGCTCTAAACTGCGCAGAACTTGACTACCAAACGGCCACAACTCTAAATCTGATTTCTCCAATTTATTTTTTTTCTACTTCAAGTTCTACGTTCCCTGGGCCCTGGGCCTCTGACCCCTCGGTTCCAGATCTCTTCACCAACGTCGAAACCATCTTTCATTGTTTCTATGGGACTCGGCACCCTCCCTCGGTCCAGCAATGTTTTCATCGCACAAATGTCATTTCTAGCGTTCAACCCTCTCTTCTGCCCGGCGGGGAGTAGAGGGGCTTTCAGAACCCAGTGGCCAGCTTCCGTGATTAGGTCCCCTTCGCACAGCCATTTTCTAGTTAAAACGCTCTTTCTGCCTCCGAGGGGGAAAATGAACTTTTCCCCCTTTGATCTCGAAGCGGCTAGTCTCGGAACCGCGGAGAAGACAGCCGGGTCTCCAACTCCGCGGCAGGAGCGCGCCGCCGCCCGGGGAGGGAAAGCCCAGCCGCACAGCCGAGGCCGGTGCCAGGGAAAGGGGGTGTGCGCTCTTCCTCGCCGGCGCCCACCCTCACTTTTCCCCTCCGCAGCCCCTACCCGGGCGCACCCCCTCCAACCCTGTCTCCCCCGCCCCAGGCCCTGCCAAGCCCGGGCTGCCGAGGGAAAGAGCGCGCCGGGAAGCAGGAGGGATGGAAGTCAAGGAGTGAGCCCGCAGTCGCCGTGCCACCCGGCCCTGCGGCGCGGGCGCGGGGCGCACGGGACTCCGCAGCGGACGCCTGCTGCAGATGCGGCGGCAGCTGCTGCAGCTGTGGCTGCGGCTGGGCGGGCGGCAGTGGCCGCGCAGCCCTCGGGGCCAGGAGGAGAGGGGCAGCCGCCGGGGCTACGCGCAGCCACCCGCCGCACGCCGCTGCCCCTGCCGCTGCCCGGATCTCTCGCCAGCACTCCCTGGCCGCCCCGCGGTCCAGGGTAACAGCAAGGAAGAAAGCGAGGCTCACCGGCGGTGCGCGCGGCGCTCGCCTCGGCTCCGGCGCCCGGCAGCTCTGCTCCAGTCTCGCCCTCCCCGGAGCGCCCGGATCAGCTGCGGGTGCAGCGCACGAGCTTCCTACTTGAGCTCAGGACGGGATCCGGCGACTGAGCATGCCCAGTGCCGCTCCGCGAGTCCCGCTAGGGAACGGCGCCGGCGAGATTCCACTTCTCCAGGCTTTGGCGGCGGCTGCGCAAGGAGAGGCTGGAGGGGCCTGGCGGGGCGGGGGCCGAACGCGGGAAAGGCGGGGCCGGGGGCGGGGGCCGGCGAGGAGGGGGCGGGCAGCGCTCCTAGTGCGACACCTGCAGGCAGAGGCTGTGGGGCCTCTTGGACTCACGGGCCCCCCTATCGTCTGGGAAGATGGCAGGGAGGCAATGGGGGCCAGTGTGTCGAGACCCAACGGCGGAGAGTCGCGGTGCAGCCCGGTATCCCCTCCGTGTGGCCTGGCGTCTCTCTGCACCAAAAGGCAGTTGGGTAACCTTATCCCTGGCTGGTCTTTTCTCCCACGTGTCTGCATTCCCTTATGATGGGAAAATGTCCCCAGATGAGAGCTGCCCACACCCACCCAGCTGCAACTCGTAGGCGAGTCCTCTTTCCTTCTGTCTCCTTATGCAGAACCCCAAGCATATGGTGCACACACACACACACACACGCCACTCCTTGATGTGCAATCACAGCAAGATCACTTCAGGGGAGAAACATACCTGCAGGAGGGGAAATTTCCTTTTCACCCCCAAGAATATTACCTGTAACTCGAATTGTAAGCAGACAAGCAAGGTCCTGGTAAGAATGGATACTCAGTAAGTGGTTATCAGTGCTCTGCCCCAGACACTGTGAATGACATCCCCAGGGTTGCTCTTCACCAGCGCAGTGGTCGTCAGACTTGAACCTGCATCAGAATCTCCTGGAGGATTTACGGAAACGCAGATTGCTGGGTCCCAATCCCAGAGTCTCTGAATGGGTAGGTCTGTGGAGGGGGCCAGGCATCTGTATATCTAACAAGTTCCCAGGGGATGCTGGTGCTGCTAGTCTGAGGACCACACTTTGAGATCCACCACTCTACACATACACACAACCTTGATTATGCTAAAAGTAAATTAACAGTAACTACCAAGTGCTGGCTCCGCCTCACTCATCCTCTTCCTCAAACCTGCAGAATGCACTCTTTCCTCAGATAACAAACTCACGCCCGGCTAGTCCTTATTCTTCATGTGAGGACTCCATGCGTTTGGAGAGGCCGTTACTTTATTCCTTCAAACATGAATTTACTGAGGATACAAAAGGTCTCACAGTCGGCCTGGGGACAGCAGTGAATAAAAAGACCCCGGCCTTCATAGAGCTGACAGCACAGCAAGGTGGACAGACATCCATCAAATTAATCACTCGATATCATTTCCAGCATGGAGAGTGCTGGGAGGAAAATCTAGTAGGTGTGAATAAAAGAGCGTATAACGGGACCCTGACGCAGACACCGAGTGGGGTCGGAAGGAATGAGTGGTGGGGGGGAAGCTGCCTCGTGGAAGAGGGGCTTCTGGCGTTTGTACCCCTAAAACCTCTCCCATGAACAATTTCCCTCAGACCCAACTGGAGGCCAACAATCATGCCGCTCCTTCCTGCAACAGATAAACAATACTGCCACTGAGAAATCCCTATAAATCTATGAAAGTGCTCACCCTTGGGGCTGAGTCTCTGTCCCCCAAGATCCGCTTATCGAGCCCATGGACGATGGACGGTCGGAGGCTGTTTAACCCACTTTGGGAAAATGCAGACCCTGAACTGGAAGGCCTTCTAGTTCTAGTCTACGTCTCCCAGGCCCCGAGAGCCGAGGAAATTAACCCAAGACCACCCCGCCCGTCAGTGGCAGACGCGGGACCGGCCTCCAGCCTTCCAAGCACGTCTTCTTTCCGCAGGACTCTATTCCCTCGGAAAGAGGGAATACAGCTCCCCGCTGCTCCCCTGGAGTCCCTCCCAGCCGCCCTCTCTCTCGGGGGTCCCGGGTCGGTAAAAGGCACCCGCCACTCCCGGCTGGGTCTCCTCCCGACCGGGAGGAAAACCCGCAGTGGAGTCCTCGGCAGCGGGGCGGGGCGACGCGCGCAGGCGCAGTGGCGGCCAGGTTGGGCCGAGGAGGCGCCCTGCTCCACACCTGATGCAATCAGCCTTCCGGAAACGGGTCCGGCCGCCGAGCCGCCTGACTTCGCCTGGGGCGAACGGCGACGTTTGGCGTCCCACAAGGGACCCGCAGGAGGAGTCGGAAGTCAGTCCTGGGAAAGCAAAATCCCTGGCTGCCCTAATAGTGACGTGGAAGGGGCCTCCGAGTGTTCCGTGGCTGCGGGAGGAAATTCCCTAATTGTGTATTTCCAGAGAGGACGACAGCGGGTTGGGGGGAGTGGAGGGGGTGGGCGAGACACTTTTAACTGTCCTTTGCTTGCTTCCTTCCTTCCTTGTCCACCTCGCCACAGTTTCTTCCTCCCTCCCTGAAAGGAACGTCTATAGTAATTGCAGTTTTAAGGGCGAATGGAGAGGACTCTCTCATACCCTGTCCGTCTCGCTAAATATGTAACAGCACGTTACTCTGGTACATAAAGCCTGCCACCGCACGCTCGTTTTATAAATAAGTAATTGGTTTCTCCATACCTCATCATTTCCGTTTACAAGGAAAATCATTTCTCGTTTCACCACCTCATGCAATTTTGATATCTGTTGTGAGTGCGTTTTTTTCCTTCATGCTGACTCACCCATGAATTGTTTCCCAAGGAAGGAAAATATTCCAAGTGCATATTTATAAAAGCATAGACGTAAAATGAACCCTGTAAATCCTTTAAGGCCAAAGGGAAAAAGAAAAGGCAGATTTAAGGAATTTTAGTTAGAAGGATACTTAGGAGATCGTTCTAGAATCAAGTCTGGATCAACTCTTATGTATAGAAGACATTTACTTCTTTGTGGCTGGGAGGTAAATGACTTTTCCTTACTTAACAGATAAATCGATGGCAGCGCTAGCACTTGAACACAGATTTCTTGACACCCCAATCTAATGAAAAAAAATTTTGTGTTTTGCACAAACATTATACAGAATGCCATACTATAGATTAGAATGCTGTTTTTTTCAATCCAAAGGTTACAAAGCACAAAATCGGTGGCAACAAAAGGGATCCTATTACTTGTTCCTACTTCTGAGGTCCATTAGTCTTTAAATAGTCCTTGATCTACCCAACTACTATGCAACCTATCCAACCACTGCTAAGGTAACCAGAGATTAGCCATTAAATATTTCAGTTAAAGTGGTATGAAATTCTTCAGAAGTTAGAGACATCAAGAAATCTTTAGTATCAACGTTTAGAGTCTCTAGTATTCTTGCTTGATCATATGGTGTATGAACTGTTTGAGGTTAAACCAGGGGAATTTTACTGATCGCAACAAAATATCAAGGTTATAATTCCTCTGTACTGACTTAAATTACTTTAACAAAATGGAAATCAAAGTGAAAATACAAAAATAACTACAAAACTCATGCCTGAAATAAGATCATTTTTCGGAACCGTGTCTACCTTTTATCTCGATGAACGTGTATTTCTTTTTGAAATATTCTGACATTTAGAGATCTGGAGAATACCTTCTACTTATGCAAAACTCGAGCTGAGTAAATGTCAAAACACAGAGGTGCAAAATACAAACTTATCACAAGGTACTAGTTACAGAATAGTTAACCTTTCCTGAGTGGTTAGTGTGTGCCAGATACTGGCTAAGCATCTTACATAGGTTACTTAATCCTCACAACTACCCTATGGGTGAGGTGCTGTTGTGACCCCTATTTTACAGGTAGTGAAAGTGAAGTTTCAGAGTGTGAAGAAACTAACTCAAGGTACAACACATTCAGAGGCAGAACAGGAATTTGAACCCAGGCACCTTGCCTGGAGCTTGAGCTTTTAAATAACGCTCTATAATAGCTGAGAGAGGTTGTTGGCAGTAAGTAAAATTAATATAGTAATAAGGAATATAAGTATTCAATACAGAAAAATGGAAATACAGAGAAAGTGATTGTGATTTATGTCTCATCCAGGAAAAGAAGTGGAGTATTGCATTTACTCTCCTTCCAAAGATAAAACTTGGTATAGTAACTTTGTTGTCCACACTAGGAAAGAACCTCTTCCTAACTAATGAATTGTGGTTCTCAAACTGACAAGCAATCTTACCCACAGATATGAGGCAGATGGTCAAATACCCAGAGATTTTGGGGGCTACCAGCAAGGCCTTCCCTCTGATGGACCCTCTCTGTGTCTGGCTGGTTCCTCTAGTCCTAAACTATCTAGTATGGTAGTCATTATAGCCACATATGGTTATTTAATTTTAAATTAATTAATTAATATTTCAGTTCTTCAGTCATATTAGCCACATTTAAAGTGCTCAATAGCCACATGGGTTAATGGCTGCAGTATAGAACAGGGCAAGGATAAAACATTGCCATCACTGCAGAAAATCTTACTGGACAGCACAGCTCCAGTCCTTTATCCCCATAGTGTAAAGCTTTAATCTCTTCACTCTGCGCCACTCCTCCTCTGAGAGGGCCGTGTTTCTAGCTCTGCCTTTCCCCTCAGCTTCAGTCCTTTTTTCCAAACTAAAATTATTATCAGAGGGTAGAATACTATCATGGAAAGACACGGGCTTTGGAGGAAGACCTTATTTCACATCCCAGTTCTTTTATTTACCAACTGTGTGACCTTGGGAAAGTTACTTAACCTCACTGAACCTCAATTTTCTTATCTGTAAAATGGGCATCTTAATCTTTTCATCATGAGTTTGTTTAGGATTAAATGAAATAACACATGTAAAACTTCTGGGAGGCCTCACATAGATTTCCTTCCTTCCATTCCTATTTCAGGTAATGACATCACTAATTACTAAGGTTTCCAAACTAGAAATCTCAGTCATCTTCAAGTCTTCCTTCCTCCTCAACCACCCACATCAAATTAGTCATCAAGCTGGTGCTCCCACCTCAGGGATGCCTCTCAAAATGGGGCCTTCCTCTCTGTCCCCACTTCCACTGTCCTCATTGGCTTCTCATACACTACTTCAGCTTCCTGCTAACTGACCTTGGTGATTCTCATTGCTCCCACTCCAAGCCCTTCCTCCATGCTGCTGCCAGAGTGATCTTTCTTAAAAAAG